CAACAACGTGAGCAAGCCTGCCCGCCGCCTGATGATCATGCTGCAAGGCCTGGTCACGTCCAGCATGTCCTAACAGGGCTTGACGGCTCTCGCTCAACGGCGCCTGTCCCGGCTAACCGAGGGGTGGCTGCTTTTCTTTTCTCCACTCGGCCAGTCTCCTCCTCTTCCTCCTCCTCGTCCGAGAGCTCTTGGCTGACAAAACGCGTCCGCGCCAAGCCGGGTGGGATGCATACTAACCCGGCGAGTTAGTCCCCTGCAGGTCCACATACTCTTTCCTTTCCGCGCAAGTCTCTTTTTGTACTTGTGCGAGCAGAAACACACGAATCCCACCTTTCCTCCCACTTCGGAGCTCAGAGGTCCCACTCCCCAGGCGCGCGCGCGGAGGGCGTCGCCTGGGGTTTCGCAGGAATCCGTGCCTGGCAGAGAGAGGTCAAAGGGCGGGCAGGCCGTCGAGTCACAGCAGCCGCAGGGACGGAAGCCTCCCTCTGCGCTGTGTGTGGCGGGGGGTGGGGGCAGATTGCGAAGGCCCCCTTTCCCATTTGGGAAAGACATGGGGGGGGCATTGTTACTCAGCGTGGTGGAGCATGTTTACGGATCAGACAGTTCCTTTAGTCCAGGGGTAGGCAACCTTGGCTCTTTTATGACGGGTGGACTTCAACTCCCAGAATTCCTGAGCCAGCCACGCTGAGGGAAAAGGGAGAGGTTTCCAAGCTCAGCCATGCCGGCTTAGGAATTCTGGGAGTTGAAGTCCACGAGTCATAAAAGAGCCAAGGTTGCCTACCCCTGCTTTAGTCGGAGGGGGGGGGGTTGTGTTCACACCACATATTTTCTTTCCTTTTTATCTAGAATCTTTACTCTTTCGTTTTTGAATAATGTTTAAAAACAAGTTCAATAAATGACTTTTTTGGAGGAAAATAAAAAAAAAAACCAGCTCTTTCTTCTCATCCTGAGGCCCCGGTTGGGTCCCAGGGCGCTTCTCAAATACAATGCTTTGCTTTGAGTCAGCATATTGCATCAGCTCAGAACAATCTGGCTTATTTATTCACAAAGTCACTGTTAGGAGGAAACAAGCACCTCAGGCGGGGGACTGGAGGCTAAAACTTACAAGGAACAGTTGCTGGAACTCGGTATGTCTACTTTAATGAAGAGAAGGACGAAGGGGGACAGGATAGCAATGTTCCAATATCTCAGGGGCTGCCCCAAAGAAGAGGGAGTCAAGCTATTCTCCAAAGCCCCTGAAGGCAGGACAAGAAGCAATAGATGGGAACTAATCAAGGAGAGAAGCAACCTGGAACTAAGGAGAAACTTCCTGACAGTGAGAACAATTAATCAGTGGAACAACCTGCCTCCAGAAGCGGTGAATGCGCCAACACTGGAAGTTTTTAAGAAGAGACTGGACAGCCATTTGTCTGAAATGGTATAGGGTTTCCTGCCTGAGCAGGGGGTTGGACTAGATGATCTCCAAGATCCCTTCCAACTTTTTATTTATTTATTTAATTATTATTATTGTTGTTATTATCATCATCAACAACAACAGGGAAGGAGCCAGGCTCATTTTTTATATCAGACTAACAATCCATGATCTCATGGGTTGTCGATTCAGAGAGATTTCCTTACCGGATTCCTCAATTCCTTCAACAGCGGCAGAGCTTGTAATATACTTGAAGAATTCTTAAAAATTTGGGGAGATAAGAGATTTTCCAAAGCACCAAAATGGCAAGATGAAGAAACAATGGATGGAAACTAACCAAGGAGAGAAGCAACCTAAAACTAAGGAGAAAATTCCTAATGGTGAGAGCAATCGACCAATGGAAGAGCTTGCCTTCAGAAGTTGTGGGTGATCCATCACCAAAGCGTTTCAAAAAGAGACTTGACAACCCTATGTCTGAAATGGAGCAGGAGGTTGGACTAGTGGACCTCCCAAGGCCCCTTAGTCTATGTTCTAGAGCAGTGGTTCTCAATCTGTGGGTCGGGACCCCATTTGGGGTCGAACGACCATTTCATGGGGGTCGCCAAACAACGCAGTCCACCATTTTTTTCCCCCTTTTCCTTAGCTGTGCTACTCCCTTTTATTCTATTGGCTTTTGAAAGCCAATAGAATAGACTCTCTTGAATAGAGTCTAATTCTATTGGCTTTCAAAAGCCAATAGGAATTGTCCAGGCTGTCTCTGCCCTGCTGAGCCTGCCAAATGTCCCATTCTGCAAATGGTACTGCACCAGTTGAGTAGTCCTCGACTTACGACCGGTTGGGGGTCGCGACATTAAAAAGGTTGAGAACCACTGTTCTAGAGATATCTGCCTTGAAAGTAGCCCATGTGGCGTTGTATAACACAGTCAAAACATCAAGAGTTGACCACTGGAGAGGCTTTGTGACACTTTGTATTATGTCATAAAATGCTTTATAAAATGCTTTATAAAATTGGCCAAATTTCAATTCCACAGGAGCCATAGATCCCAGATTTGGGACACGTTCTTTACGTTAGCCCACTTGAGCTATTTTGGTTCAAAACGTTTTGCTCTCTGATTGCACCATTTCGCCCAGTTAATGATTACAGACGTGAAAGTTTTAGTAGTATATAGATTAGATGAGGCTGTGTGTGTGTGTGTGTGTGTGTCCTGCACAGCACCTTGTAAATCCCCTCTGATCTCCTCTGCCCATGAAAACGGCTGCTAAAGAGGTTAAGTACTTGTCAGAAGCAAACACATCTGGGAAGGGGAGGACAGCGAGAACAACGCCAAAGCGCACGCTAGTTTGAGATTTCTCTTCTTGGAGGATGGCAAATACTGCTAAGATTGGGCCAGGGGGCCCACTTGGTTATGCATATTTTCTAGTTCCACCTGCAGAGCTACTGCTGGAACGATAAACTGGGATGCTGGGAGCGCTTTAAGGATTAAAGAAGGGCAGTGTTTCCTTGCCAGCTGGGGGTTTGAAATGCATTTCTAAGGCTGGCCTGTGCTGACTCTCTTCTTCGGAGAAAAGCAGAATAGGGGTGGGGAGTAAGCCTTTATGAAGTGCCTCTTTCTTCAGCGGTGCAAGATTTTGCAAGGACAATGAAAGGATTAATTGTTGCCCAAAACAGATTGGGCTATCCTTCTCTCCCTCCCGCTCCGTTCACCATTCCATCTTTTAGGAATTAGCTCTGCCTTCCAAGGGGGAGCCAGTAGTTCCACGTTCTCTTGCAGGCACTCCCAGCAAAGTTTGGCTGGACAAATGGAATAATCCCGAGTCTGGTTGCACAAGATCGGCCCAAAGAATTTTGGAGGAATCTGGGGATTTTGCTACTCACTCTTCATTTTACTCACTCTTCATGTTGTCTGGGAACTTGTCTTGAAGTTGTCAAAGTTGAGAAACACTACTCTAAGCTATTAAACAGTGGCTCTAGATGTATCTTGCTGTGAAAATCCAACTGTGCTAGTTATAACATTTATAATGACAGAGACCCAGGCTCCCACTGCTGGGAACTGGTGGTGCTTTGAACCAGTCACTGACTTCCCTAAGCCAAAAGGTTTGTGGCCCAGCCAGTCTAGTTTGGAAACTAGAATCCAAAGTTTAAGTGATGTGAACCAGCCAACTATGTCTAATCCGATCTAATGGTGCCTCTGTGTTGCTAGAAAAATCACTGCAGAGGTTCACGTGCAATAAATCATACTGTTTGTGGCTTAGACTCCTGCGAGTCCCTTGGACTGCAAGGCGTTCAAACCGGTCAGTCCTAGAAGAGATCAACCCCGACTGCTCTTTAGAAGGCCAGATCCTGAAGTTGAAACTCAAATACTTTGGCCACCTAATGAGAAGGAAAGACTCACTGGAGAAGGGCCTAATGCTGGGAAAGATTGAGGGCAATAGAAGAAGGGGACGACAGAGAATGAGATGGCTGGATGGAGTCACTGAAGCAGTAGGTGTGAACTTAAATGGACTCCAGAAGATGGTAGAGGACAGGAAGACCTGGAGGAACATTGTCCATGGGGTCGCGATGGGTCAGACACGACTTCGCAATTAACAACAACAAATTCACCTTGTGGCTACCTAAAAACCAGGCTTAACCCACACTTTAGGCTGAACTGGAACCGCGGGAACCGCTTTTGTGAACAGCATATTGTTATTGGCATCCTGCAGTTTATAACCACCCTCCCAAACTCAAGCACACACACATCCGTAGCTAGGCAGGCCAGTTTGGGCTTAGCCACTTAGAATTGGAAGGGACCTTATAGGTCATCTAGTCCAACCTCCCCCCCATCCCTCTTCTGCAACCATCTCCGCACTCACTTCTGGGGGGGGTGCACAGGAGCCCCCAACACGTGCTCCCACGTGGTGGTGCTCAACTCTGTGTGTGTGTGTGTGTGTGTGTGTGTGTGTGTGTGTGTGTGTGCGCGCGCGCGCGCGTGTGCACACCGGGCATTCTATTCTATTCTATTCTATTCCTAATAGAGTAGGAAGGGACCTCACAGGTCATCTAGTCCAACCCCCCCCCCCGCCCATCTTCTGCAACCATCTCCCGCACCCACTTCTGGGGGGGAGGGGTGCACAGGAGCCCCCAACAGGCGCTCCCACGTGGTGGGTGCTCAACTTCCCGAAAGGAGTCCCCGGGCCTCAGCTGCGATTCCCGGGACCCCGAGCCGCCGACGGGGCGGGGCGGGGCGAAGCCGGAGGCGGGGCGGAGCGGCCGCCCGGAGCCGCTCGGCGTTTCTGCAGCCCGACTCCCTCCCGAGCGGTCGGTGGCGGCGGAGGCACCATGGGCTGCGGGGCGTCGCTGGGGGCTCTGGCGCTGCTGCTCGCCTTGCATCTGGGTGCGTCAAGAGTCCCGCGGGGGAGGGAGGGGAGCGGGCGGGATCCGGACCGGGACCCAGACCGGCACCAGAACACGGACCGGGCGGCCAGCGCGCCCAGCGGAGGGTCGAGGCATTCCAGGCGAAGGGGGCGGACGGCGGCGGCGGCGGCGGCGGCGGCGGGGTGGGTGGGCGGTGTGGGGTCCCTTCTGGGGCTGCGGGGCGGCGTCCCGTCCCGTCCACCTTGCGAGCGAGTTGGGAAGAGCCGCGAGGACGCCCGGCTCCAACCCCGCGCGGGTCGGTCCCCGGGCACGGACGGGACTCGCCCGTGGGGACGCCAGCCTGGCCGCCTTGGGGCGGGCTAGAGCCCGAGGCGTGGGGGGGCGCCTGGGCTGCTGCCCCCGCTGAATTGCAACCTCTGCTGGAACCGAGCGAGGCTGTTTCTCGGTCCCTGCCTCGGCTGGGGCCAGGGATCAACCCGGGTCCGGGCTGCGTCGGGTCAGGCTGCAGGGTCCAGGGGTTTACAGCGGGCGGGCAGGCGCCCCCCCCCCCAGCAGCAGCGCTGGACCACCGGCGAGGCAGCTTTGCTGAGATGCGTTGAAGTCCCGGAGTGCCAGATCTCCCCCCCCCTCCCTCCATGGATGGCAGTGCCCTCTGTGGATGATGGGGCTTGGAACTCTGCGCGTCTGGAGGGGGAAAGGGAGGGCAGGGCTTTCAGCGTCCGTCTGAACCGGGGCTCCCAAGCTTCGGGAGCGCTGGTTCGCCCCTTGCCTGGAAGTTGCAACCGTCGCCAAGGCGGAGGGTTAGACTACTTAGCGTCCTGGCTTCTCGGGGGGGGGTGGCTTTTTTCCTCCCCTCTTCCTTCTTTCCTTCTCTGCCGCTGCGGAATTCTCCCATCCCGCTCCCATTACCTCTCCTCGCTTTTTGGGGGGAGGGGGCAAGCTCAACGTTTTCATTCTTCCAAAGATCCCGCGAGGGGGCGAAAAGAGGCAAGACGCTCTTCTGCTGACTTTCCAAAACTCCTTTCCTCCCCCCAACTGAATAGGGGAGCCCTGCAGGCGGTGGGGGCTGCCTTCCTGGCTAAAAATGAAAAGAGGGGCTGCTTGGCTTTGCCCCTAATTTGCCCCTCTCCTGCTTCAAGGATGTTCCTGGCCAGTGGAAGGAGGAACTTCAACATGTCCTCTTTGCAAGCTCCTGGCCTTCTCTTTCCTTCTTTCTTGCTCCCGCTTTACTTCAACATGTCTTCTTTGCAAGCTCCTGCCCTCTCTTTCCTTCTTTCTTGCTCCCGCTTTCCTACCCCTTGCAAAAAAACCGAAGGAGACAGAATTGTGCTTGAGACTTTTCGCAGATTCTGCCACTCCACCCCCAATAAGGGAAGGGATGGTCAAGATAAGGAGGTTTCCCCCCCCCCCCGCACCCTCAGCTGCAATTTAAAAGCAAATTAGTTTTGTGCTAAAAGCTTGCTGCGGCTCAGGAAAGCTGGTGCCTTTTAATAAAAGGCATTACTACTGTAGTCTGAAAACGTCCACCAGGCTTCACAAAAACTCATCTTCCTTTGGAAGGAGTGGGTCCAGTCCTCCCCAGGATATAATAATAATAATAGTAAAGTTGGAAGGGACCTTGGAGGTCATCTAGTCCAACCCCCTGCTCAGGCAGGTAACCCTATACCATTTTGGACAAATGGCTGTCCAGTCTCTTCTTAAAAAACGTCCAGTGTTGGAGCATTCACCGCTTCTGGAGACAGGTTGTTCCACTGGTTAATTGTTCTCACTGTCAGGAAGTTTCTCCTTAGTTCTAGGTTGCTTCTCTCCTTGGTTAGTTTCCACCCGTTGCTTCTTGTCCTGCCTTCTTCAGGCGCTTTGGAGAATAGCTTGACTCCCTCTTCTTTGGGGCAGCCCCCGAGATATTGGAATGCTGCTATCATGTCCTCCCTCGTCCTTCTGTTCGTTAAATCCTAAAAACAATTCTATGAATTTTCCTCCTGCTAGTGTTGGGGATGAATCTTACCCGATTTGGGATGCAAGATTGCTAGTCCTTAATTCAGCGAAGGATGGGATGACTGGAAGAGGAGAGTGTCCTGCTTTTGAAAAGAGGCTGAGGCTTCAGGCGAGGTGCTGCTCATGGGGAAAAGCATTGCCTGGAAGGGAGAAAGATTGCGGTAATACAGTCCAGCTAAAACTTCTTTCTCTTCTCTTATGGGTGAGAAATGTGTCCAGGTGGCAATTGGTCTGTGTAATAATATATTAGAGATCAACTGCATCACACAGAACAGAACTACTTGTCTGCTAATACAGGTAGTCCTCAACTTACAACAGTTTGTTTAAGTGACTGTTCGGAATTATAGTGGCACTGAAAAAAAAGGGCTTACGACCATTTTTCACACTTACGACGGTTGCAGCATCCCCATGGTCACGTGATCAAAATTCGGATGCTTGGCAACTGATTCATACTTAGGTCGGTTGCTGTGTCCTGGGCTCATTTGTTACCTTCTGTCAGCCAGAATCACTTAACAACCATGTTAAGTTAACTTACGTTAACTTAACAACTGCAATGATTGACTTAACAACTATGGCCACAAAGGCTGTAAAACGGGGCAAAACTCGCTCAACAAATGTCTCCCTTAACAACATAAATTTGGGGCCCCGTGGTGGTTGTAAGTCAAGGACTACCTGTGGACCTCCATAACAGCAGCCGGTGTTGGGACTTGCTGGAGGGGGGGGCACAGGTCTCCCAATTCCAGTTGGCACTTGTTAATTTATACTTATCTACTGCCCTGTCCCCAGGGTCTGTACCACCTCACTCCTTGCAATGGTCCTGATCATCAGTCTAGAAAGAGAATGATTGACACAGGTCCCTCCAACATTTTGTGTGTGTGTGTTTCTTTGTTTGTGAATGAAATACACCAGGCCCTCCATTTTCCTGTTTTAGTCATGGAGGAGGGAAAAATACAAGATGAATACTAGATAAAGTGGGTGAAGGGAAGAGGCTCAGATCTGAAAAGAGGGTACATTTTGGTAAGGAGGCCTCAGCTATCCCAAGACGCTTCCAGTAGATGTTATTATCTTCTATGATAGCCAGCAGAGACCCTTTTATTTTTCTGATCTTTTAATAAGCTTCTACTGCTTTTACATTTTCTGGCATCGGTTGAGCTGAGTTACCTTTTTTTTCCTCTTTCAAATATTATTAGAAGTAGTACAGCATCATCAGAACGTGACTAGCAACATTAAAATAAAATTAACAGTCGGTTAGATTGAAAATGTTTAATTTCCTGTTCCATTCACATTTTTTTTTTAATCAAAGGGTGGGAAGGAACACCCAAACCAAGTTGTTTTCCATGTGTAAACGTCCCTTATTTTTTTCCCTGTCTTATTCAAAAAAAAAATCTGTTAAGAAAAGAAAAAGAAGTGAGCTCTACAGGATCCTGATTAAGCGGGTCTTTCTGGAGGCCCTTGTGGAATTGTAATTTCCTTCCTGTCTTGGTTTTGGGGGAACTCATTATTTCTTGTTTAATATCGGACAAGGTACTAAAATCCTCATAGTCTGAAAAAGTCTGGAGCAAAAAGTCTGATGTTGCCTTGTCTATGATTTGATGGTAGAACTAGCATAATTAATCCTAATGCTTCATAACTGATGCGATTGGCGGACCCAGTGGTTGTGTGTGTGCGCGCGTGTCTGTATGTGTGTATTTAAATGATAGCAATTTAAATAAGGCATGAGCTGGGTGATTGGCATTATCTAGGGATCTGAATATAAAATGCCACGGGTTTCAGTTACTTTTCTCCAACTGGCTGTCTTCCAAATGATCTTGAAAACTCTTCAGTTACTAATGATCAGAATGGATTTGTTATGCAATGTGTGGGAAAGTGCCTTCTTGGGGAAAAATTGCTATAATACAGTCCAGATAAAATATTTTCTCTTCTGAGAGTGAGAAGAGTGTCGAAATGGGCAATTAGTATAATGTAGCTTTCAGAGTTTCATACAAAAGATCGTAACTGTGTGCTGTCTACTTCCAGGCTTGCAAGATCAAACCACCATCTGCTGTAAAGTTCACCTATATATAATATGTTATATTATATATATATATGTTATATATAACATGTTATATTATATGTTATATATAATATATGTTATATTATATATTACATGTATATAAAAATATGTTGGTCCAAGTTTGATTATTTTGTTTGTGGTTTGCTTGTCACTCTTCCATGGAAACTAGCACAGGGTTCTTTAGCTAATTAATAGAAACGGTGATTTCAGTATATACCCTTTTAAGAAGAGATTGGACAACATTTGTCTGAAATGGTGTAGGGTTTCCTGCTTGAGCAGGGGGTTGGACTAGAAGACCTCTAAAGTCCCTTGTAGTTCTGTTATTCTGTATTCTGTCTACCCATTGAGAACAAGGACCGACTTAGAGTTGCTTTGATTGACAAAGGGCTTTGCTTTTTCTTTTTGTAATCACTGGGGCACTAAGACAGTAAGCCTTTACCTTCTAAATATATAGCTAACACAGCCTATGTATCTTTAATAGCCACTTGAGATGGTACTTATTGGCATGGTAGTAGACTTTTACAAGATAAGATAGGCTGTTTATCTTTCTGAGTTCCTCTCATGAGATGCTCATAAATTACTGTACAGGACAACGACCTCAATTTGCTTTGGGACAGTGTTTATTCTGCATTCTGAATAAATCCTGATTACTTTCAATCTTGTTGGCTAAATAGAAATATGCTATTTGTAGGTGGGTGGGAAATGCTAGCCAGCTGCTTTACGCACAGGCAAAATCATTTGTCTTTCTAGCTTAAAAGTGGGCACTTTTTCCCCCCTCGGAGGGCTACTTTAGTTTGTTGGGGGTGCAGTTCAGCGACGGGACAGGGTTCAAAACAACAAAACAAATGAATCCGTCCAAAAATGCTGGGTACCGTACTTTGATTAAATTTCCATATAAGGTTAAACCATCTTGTGATCATTTGCTTTTGGCTTAGGGCATTGTGCAGACCCAGTTTGGATACTTTGAATACCCGACTTTTTAGCTGTGATGATGTGTGAATTCAATCACTCATCTTGTTCATGATCTGGGGATTCAGATTACTCCACCTAGGTAGTTTAGCTTTATTATTGAAAAGTTGTCTTTGGTATTTATGCACAAATGCAGTCTCTTGTAGGGCTTTCTGGGAGCTATCCAGAGTACTGAAATCTTGCTTTTCCTGAACAGAGGGAAAGAATCAAGATCACATGAAGTACTAGGGCCACTTTATAAAGCGGGTGCCAAACTCCGACCTCCAGGCTGGTTGCATCATTCAGAGGCCACACCTGCCCCAGCTCCAGCAATGCAAAAAAAATTGCGACACGTCACCTGAGGTGGCAAGTTTGACACCCATGCCTTAGTAAGACCACACTTAGACTACTGCATCCAGTTTTGGTCACCATATTACAAAAAAGAAGTTGAGACTCTAGAAAGAGTGCAGAGAAGAGCAACAGAGATGATTGGAGGGCTGGAAGTTTAAACATATGAAGAATGGTTGCAAGAATTGGGCATGGCTAGTCTAGAGAAAAGGACTGGGGGTGACATGATAGCAGTCTTCCAATATTTGAATGAAGGCATGACAAGAAACAATGGATGGAAACTAATCAAGGAGAGAAGCAACCTAGAACTAAGGAGAAGCTTCCTAACAGTGAGAACACCTAACCTGTGAAAAGGCTTGCATTCAGAAGTTGTGGGAGTGCTCCATCATTGGAGGCTTTTAAGAAAAGATTGGATAGCCATTTGTCTGAAATGGTCCAGGGTGTCCTGATTGAACCGGGGGTTGGACTAGTCACTAGATGATCTCCAAGGTTCCTTCCAACTCTCTTACTCTGTTCTGTTATTTGTCTTTCTGAATCACCTTCTGGCATTCCAGCGTTTAGTGTCTTGGGTGACAGAAGTCCTGGTGAATGCTTGCTTATATCCAGCTGAGCCACTAAAGGTTTTATACATCAAAACATTTTTATGCCTTTTGAGTTAATTTTGACTTCTGTTGACTGCCTGAACTTGTCCTTGCAAGTTTTTTTTTGGCAAGTTTTCAGAAGTGGCTTGCCATCGCCTGCTTTGTAGGACTGAGAGAGAGTGACTAGCCCAAAGTCACTTAGTTGGCTCTGCACCTCTAGCTGGACTACAACTCACAGTCTCCTGGTTTCTAGCCCAGAACCTTAACCACTAAACCAAGCTGGTTCTCCATCTGTCAAAACCAGCATCCTAAATGTTGCACCACATTAAATAAGTATCCATATCAGAGTCCTATTCTTGGTTGTTCAGAAATCAAACTTGGCTATATATGCAAATATTTAAACTAAAGAAACACAGAAGATACCGTTAACTGCTTCTTTTCTGGCCCCTAATGCAGCTTAAAATTATTTCATCAGAACTGGATTGCCCGCAGCAAATACCCTTCAGGAAATACAGAAAATTGTCTTATAATTTTGGGATTAATCATTTCCATTATTCAGTGCCTAAACATTTCAATAGAAGGATGCCAAGGCGAAATAAGTGCCCTTTCTACATGAAGTACGTGCTTCACCTCTAGGCGATGATTCCTCACTGTTATATTAACTTAGCTAAAAATACAGAGCTTTGTATCAGCCGAAAGTGCTTCAAGGATACATTAGGATTCTTGAATAGAAATAGTTTTTGAAGCTATTCAAAATATATATTTTAATTGTATGAGATGTTTTGTCTCTTAAGTTTTCAATTTGCCACTCTGGCCTATACAGCCAGCACTGCTCTGCTGGCTGATGAATGCTAGCCTCTAAAAATTGGACACAGTCCAGGAAAGTTTAATGACTAATAATAATAATAATAATAATAATAATAATAATAATAATAATAATGTTGGAAGGGACCTTGGAGGTCATCTAGTCCAACCCCTGCTCAGGCAGGAAACCCTACACTATTTCGGACAAATGGCTGTCCAATCTCTTCTTAAAAACTTCCAGTGTTGGAGCATTCACCACTTCTGAAGGCAGGTTGTTCCACTGGTTAATTGTTCTAACTGTCAGGAAGTTTCTCCTTAGTTCTAGGTTGCTTCTCTCCTTGATTAGTTTCCATCCATTGCTTCTTGTCCTGCCTTCAGGCACTTTGGAAAATAGCTTGACTCCCTCTTCTTTGGGGCAGCCCCTAAGATATTGGAACACTGCTATCATGTCTCCCCTCGTCCTTCTTTTCATTAAACTAGACACACCCAATTCCAGCAGCCTTTCCTTATATGCTTTAGCCTCCAGTCCCCTAATCATCTTTGTTGCTCTTCTCTGTACTCTTTTCTAGAGTCTCAACATCTTTTTACATCATGGTGACCACATCACCCCATCCTGCGTGGTTCTCAGGAATTATGGGAATTATAGTCCTGCACATGTATAAAGGTGTGAACTGGGAAAAGCCATTGAAGATAACGCAGTCTGAATATCTCGATTTCAACTTCCTTGCAGTGCTAGTGGGACCGCCAGTGAATGCAGCTGGCTGGAAGTGCAATACCATCTATAAGGGATTTGCAGAGTGCTTGGTTAGCCTTGGAGACAGCATGGCTCAAAATGTTCAGAAGGATCTGGAGGATGACACCATCCAGGATCAAGAGGAGTTGAACACCATCTGTAGGTGAGTGCAGGTCCACCACTTCAGGTGCCCATCAATAGAAAAGTTATTGTGGAGCCATCTCAAAAGCTTGCAAGATTCCTTCAGCTGTTCATCCATCTAAATTGGTATTGCTGACTCCAGCCTTCCCGAGTCTGATATTTCAGCACAGAACTTTAAAAATAGCAACGCCAGTTTTGAGAAAGAGATCAAACAAACCCCTTGTTCTTCCCAGCTATGAACTCAAAGGTCATCCCTAAATCTAGAGAAGCTATCACTGCCTTCCAAAGGTTGGACTTTAGGAGCATCTAGGGCCCAGAACTGCAATGATCAGTTTACCTGCATCCACCTCTTAAAGACCAGGTGATAAGATTGGATTAATGTATTGCCCAAGTGAAGGTGTGTTGTTTGTTAAATAAGCCCTGACTAGCTAAGTCCTTACATTGCAATGGATTTAATTTGTGGCTTGTTTTCCATCAGCAGTCCTATTGATATTTCATCTAATGCATCATTGACTTAGATATTGCTTAGGTAAAATGGAAGATTAAGATCCATAACTCAGCCTCTGAATTTTGTAAGTGGACACGAGAGGCCATTTGGCGGTGTTGTCACTTTTGACCCATTTTGGTCCTTTAGAGGGTTTTTAATGATGGGAAGCAGGTGGGGCATTTTTCAAGTTGCTTTTCTGTTAACACACATTAACACAAATCCGACAACCCTCCTCAGATAGTTGGTTGCCGGGGAGAAGTGTGTGCATTTGTAGGAGTTGCCTCTTCATAATTTAAATGATAAAGGTTTTGAGAAAGCATAGCGCACTTCGTGTCCTCCCAGGGCAATGTTAATGCACCCAGGAAGATCCGGCCAGAGCAATAGAATGAAATACAGGAAATGACATGGGAACTGGATTTTAGATGGCTGGGGCCAGTCTCCAGTCACTTTGCACCACAGTAACCACAACTGATTCTTTGTACTCGTGTTCACTTTGGGACCTTTGCCAATGCTATCTTTGGGACTTCTGTAGCCTCTAGTCATGCAGCCAAGACTGTTGCTAACTCCAGCCCCTTCCTAGGGGAAAAAAAAAACTAAAATAGAAGGGAATGCCATGTAACCACTGACTCTTACAAATAGAACTGTGCTCCCACTTTGTTGCTTCAGTATAGGTTGAGCTTAATCCTCACTGAGTCTGTTCTTCCGACAGGTCCTGGGATGACTTCCATGCGTGTGCCACTAAGGTTTTGTCCAATTGTCCTGAAGAGGCAGCCAACATCTGGGAGTCCCTTCGGCAAGAGTCCCGAAAGATCCAGTTCCAAGGCAATCTACATGATCTGTGCAGCTCGCGGGCCCAGCTGGCTGGCGATGGGAAGGCTTTACGTGTAGATGAGACCAATCAAGAGACCTTGAAGGGGGCAGCTTCTCTTCTCTGGCCCAGCCTCATGGGTAGATTGACTCTTGTAGCTCTTATGGCTTTGGTACCCTTTGCTTAGTCTGGGAGCAGTGGAGAAGTCCTTCCTCCTCCTTTCTCCACCATGGTATGGATCAGGAACCTTGTTCTTTTTCTTTCTAAGGAATATTGTTGAGCTTAGGAGTTGATGGCAATGCCTGGTGTGCCCTGATTGTAGGGCATCTAGTCTCTTGTGTAGGAGGACAGGAGGCCACGGGGCTTACCTGCCTGGAACCTGCCTAGGTAAAATCACTTCAGGTGTATGTATTTAGTCAATTTATCCTCTCAACATATAACTCAAGGCAGCAAACAATCAAAACAACACTATAAAAATATAATCAAATGCAAAACAAATTACACTAGAAGCAGCATAATAACTAAGCACAACCAATCTGGATAGGTTCAGAAGACCTCCTGACCCAATGTCTGTGGGGAAAAAAACAAGTGTTCAAAGCCTTACCAAAGGTAGGAAGGGTCATCCATATCTTGGGGGAATACTCTTCCACAGGGCAGGTGCAATAACAGTGAAGGTATGCGTCCATAAGATATCATTGCTTACATGATGGGAATTGGAGCATGCCAACCTTGTTCAATCTTACTGGAGGTGCCAAAAATAATTGGAGACAGGTGATTTCACCAAAATCAGGCCTTGTACCATGAAGAGCTTTAAAAGTGACAACCAGCACCTTCAGTTGTACCTAGAAGCTCACTGGCAACCAAACACACTCACAAAGTAGTGGTGTTCATGGAGAGCACGAGCTACACTCATAACTATGGCCACTGCTGCCACCAGTTGCAGCTTCTAAGTGATCTTCAAGAGTAGTACTACATTGGTTGCATTGCAGAAATCCAGACAGGAGATGGCCAAAGGCATGGCCATAAACAGGGCCTCCCAATTCAGGATTGGTTGCAATTGTTGCATAAATGAATGTTGCAAAAGAACCCCAAGCCATGGCTACCTCCTGCTGTCTAAGCAGGAGTTGTGAGTTTGAGAGGTTTCCCCAAATAATGCATCCCGTACAGAAGCAGAGATGGAAAAGCTCTGGAACTGGTAAGTCTCAAAATCCATAGTCACTTCATCTTGCGAAGGTTGGCCCTAAATCTGTTCCTCCCCATCCAGATTCCCCTAACTTCCAGATACTAATTTGGATGATAACTTTGGATGTGCTAAGGGTGCACCTTCTCTCCTTACACATAGTAATCATGGAAGCTAGCACATACCAGGAGTTGCAGGTTTCTATCCAGGTCTCTATCTGGTCTTATCCTTCGATCGTCTCTCCTTCATGTTTCTCACTCTCTTCTTCTTCTGGAATGCATATTGAGTCACACTATTAGACCTTCTAACTTGTCAGTATGAATTGGGAGAAGGCAAAGTTTTTCCAGATTTCCCTAGAAATAGTAGGGATTGATTCCAGAATATTCTCCATGCCAAGCAGGTGTTTACTCACTGGACCATCACCCTACTCAAGAGACCTGCGCTAGGGAACTTTTCTCAAAGATGCTCAAACGTGTTCCAGTGTCCCACAATCCTTGTTTCCATTTTTCTCGGGAGTATCTCATTAGGAGAGACAATCTGGGCCAGGTGAGTTTACATGGTGGTGTGTGGTGGTCCTCAATGAGCTCAACCCCTTAACTCTGTGTGCTAGTCATTATGTGTGCACTGACATCTGTCGGTGGCTACGTATTTTATAGCTTTCCCTGTTCAAGAAGATGTCATCTGTAGTTTCTTTTTTTGTGGAAAGCAATTATTTTATTTCTACCCACTTGGTACTTTTATGTGTCCCATTGGGTTCTCCAATTTTTGGCCACCTGAGGGCAAAATGAATCCAGTGTTGTGTGTGCTTATATAAAAAAAAGAATGGTTTTTTTTCAGACCTCCTCTCTCCCCACTGGACATAGCTAGTAGTCTCACTTGTATGGTTGATGACAGTCTATTGATCTTGCTACCAACGAGAGGGTGCATGTAATATTATATCACTGCTATTTGCAAGTCTAATTCTGAGCATTCTGCATTCTCTGTTTCCTTACAGAGATGAGATGAGGATATGGGTAAAATGTGGTGGTCTTAACTGTTTTGTTGGCCACAATCCTTTTTGGGAGAGCAGAAACCAAGATATCTTTCCAACATGGCCCTTCTATATTAGAAAGACATTTTCATGTCTTGTCACTTCTTGTTGGATTAGAATGAAATCCTCAGCTCTTGTTCATTCGTATCTGCTGTTTAAATGTCTGTCTATATTTTTATTAAAAGGCATTTTTGCATATATATTTTTTTGGTCTTGCCCTGTGCTGCACACAACGCTTCATACACTTCACTTTGTGCACCACACTGCAAATCATCTTTTTGCTTAGGAGTTTACAAAAAAAAATGCGTTTTTCAGATATTAGAAAACTCAGTAAAACTATCATTGATGGCATGGTCGTTGTTTGCTTTCTCTCTTTTGCTCTCGATGTAGTTGGGCTGGAAGACACAGCAGAAGAACGTCTGTGCTAAATTTCTTTTAAACAGTCCTTACCCCCTCGTACTCTGGAATACAGGACACAAAGAATGCATTCTACCACTGATTTGCAAGGGAGGGGGAAAGTTAACTCACACATACTTTCCTCCCCATCCGGGTATTAACAGTTCGGCTTAGTTTCTTACCTGGTGCTGCCATTGCTCCCTTCCATAATTTAATTAATCTTCCTATTTTCTTAAAACCTTCACTGAGCAGTTAACCCCTGTCTTGGTCCAATTAAATCCATGCATTTGGTCTGCAGCCATGCTGCTCATTTTCAAGCACTTTCGGGGGGGGGGGCTGTTTTTGTGCCTGTTGTTGTTTGCCATCTACTGTATTATAAAAAGGAATTTCAAATTTTATTGTCACTGATGAGGAGTTAGTTTGGAGGGAGCCAAGGGCCTCAGGGAAATAATCAAATAGAGTCGAACGCATCTTTCTCTTTTTATTGCTCGGGATACCTGCTTAATCCTGATGAAGCCGGAAGGTAGATCTTATTTACAGAATGTTGCAAAATTTATTGATGCGCTCAGATGTAAACACCTGAATTCGATGCTGCACGTATCCAGATATTATTGTAAGCTTAGGATCAAGCCTCATAAACTTGGCTGTGAGATTTAATGGGGAAGGGAGAAAGTATTTGAGATGCCTATTTTTCATTATCTTTCTTAACTGTCACGTTTGCTTCCTTTGGATATGAAATTAGAAAAGTAATCAATACGGAAGGCTTGCGTATGGAATCTGGCTTGGGAATCGGTCGATTCTCTCCAAAAATTCATCCACCCACTGGAAAACAATGCAGGCAACTTACTACTTCTATTATTTCAGCCATCCGAGCACTAAAAATATTGCTGTGGGGTAGCAGGTGGTGGCAACAGTGGCCTTTACATTTACAGAAATGGCTTCTTCTGTGACCTTTGGATGTTAATTCTTTCTCTGTGATCATTTGGGTTCAGAGGCAGCTTTTTGCGATTCATCCTATGGAGCAGGAGTCTCCAGAGTTGGCAACTTTAAAACTCGTGGACTTCAACTCCCAGAATTCTTGGAGTTGGCGTCCACAAATCTTACCATTGTCAAGTTTGGAGAGTCCTGCTATAGAGACAAATGTAAGGCACCTGCCTTCTTCTAAGCAGGCTTAGGTAGAGACAAGATAAAGTTCTTCTCCCTTCCACTTATGGAAACCATGCATAAAGACAATTGGATTATCAGTGGTACAGCACTGATTGCTGGGTCTCTACCTGTCCAGCTTAAGGAATGAAAAGTGGTTTATTACAACTGTGCTTGCTTAAGTCTCAAAGGTTTAACCGTGGGGCTGTAGTTTCAGCAGACCTTGGTTCTTAGCAGAGGAAAGCCCAGGTTAACAAGTGATCCCTGCAATTGTATTCATGTTGTGCTTTGTGCAGACCTCAAGAACCACATCAGCGGTCCCAGAAACCCCAAGTAAGCGGTCAGATGCAGTGTGAGCATCCAGGTTTAGCCAAGAGGGGCTTCATGCTGATTGCCTGACAAGCTGTTCACGAATCCTCTGTTGTCCACCCGTCTGCTGCCTTTGGGCCTGAGTGTGGGAGAAATACGGACTTGCAAGCTGATCTCTCTGGAGGCCATGAGCTCAGTGTTTGCTGAAAGCACAAACAAGAGCTGGAGGCCTCCGGGGAGCTCAAAGCTTGCTTATTTCCATCTCTTGCTCTGTGCTGGCACGCTTCGGGGAGAAGGTGCCTCTTCCTTGTTAGGCCTTATTATAGAATCAGGTGTGCTGGGACAAGCAAGGGAGATAGATGCAGGCTTCCTTCACCAATACTCACAAAGTAGTTTCAAGCTCTGGAAGCTCCAGGTTGTCTCTCTCTGTACGCGCGCGTGTGTGTGGGTCTGTTGCTTTCAGCTAGCCCTGTCCTTAAATGGCAGCATGTAAGGTAGTCCAACAAAAGTGTGTATAGTCAAGGCCATGGTTTTCCCAGTTGCAATGTATGGCTGTGAAAGTTGGACCGTAAGAAAGGCTGAGCGCCAAAGAATTGAGGCCTTTGAACTCTGGTGCTGGAGAAGACTCCTGCGAGTCCCCTGGACTGCAAGGCATTCAAACCGGTCAGTCCTAGAGGAGATCAACCCCGACTGCTCTTTAGAAGGTCAGATCCTGAAGTTGAAACTCAAGTTCTTTGGCCGCCTAATGAAAAGGAAGGACTCCCTGGAGAAGAGCCTGATGCTGGGAAAGATGGAGGGCAAGAGAAGAAGGGGACGACAGAAAATGAGGTGGCTGGATGGAGTCACCGAAGCAAGAGGCGTGAGCTTAAATGGACTCCAGAAGATGGTAGAAGACAGGAAGGCCTGGAGGAACGTTGTCCATGGGGTCGTGATGGGTCGGACACGACTTTGCAACTAACAAAAACAAGGTAGTCCTTGACTTAAAACCACAACTGACCAGCATTTATCTTGTTAAGCAAGGCTACTGTTAAGTGTGCCAATTTTATGACTTTTTCTTTTTGCCATGTGGTAAAACACACGGTCATTAAATGAATCTGGAATCCCTGGTTGATTTTTGCTTGCTGGAAGCCAGATGGGAAGATCATTAAACGCTGATCATGTGATGCCGGGACACTATAACTGATGTAAATACACGCCAGTTACCAAGCAACCCATTTTGATCCCGTGACCTCGAGGGTACTGTGTTGGTTGTAAGTGTGAGGGCTAGTTGTAGAGTCACTTTTTCGAGCACCGTGGTAACTTTGAACAGTCATTAAATGACTATAGCAAACCACCTTCCGTGCATTTGAGATCCTCCTTCGCTCCTTCGGTCAAGAGGGTCTTTGGCCCAGATTATACAGGTGGCCACATGTGAATGGATCCTTGATTTACACCACCGATCCCCAACCTTTCCTCCTCTGTGGAGCAGCTGGCAGTGGAGGAGGAGTGGGAGGGGGATGGTTCCGCACAAGCAGCAGGCATGCGCAACTTCATTTGTGCCAGTGGAGTTTCGTGCGCTTGTCTGCTCAGCCACCACTTGCACGGCCTGGTTCCCAACAGACCTGGTACCAGACTGAGGTCAGGGGGGGTTGGAGACCCCTGGTACACACCATGCATGCAACATTTTTTTCTCCTTTTATTTCTGCACCCATAGTGTATGGGTAGTCAGGTATTTTTATTAACAATAGTGTTAATGTTAATATATGCTCTTTTTAAACTGGCCCACTAGCAGATTTTGAAATAGATGTCTATCTGGAGACATGGAAAAAGGACCCAGGCGCTGTCCTGTGAAAATAGAGCAAATCCAATGTTTTAAAGATACTCGGCAAACCAGATAATCTGCCTGTTCTTCACGTACAGTGCTGACAATTCTGTGTTTAAGAGTGAATTAATCTGAGATCCCTGCAGGATTCAGCTAAGCTGCAAATATGGGTGAAGATCAGAGGATACAACAGCTCCACTGAAAAGTTCCTAGACCTATTAGTAATTCAAGATATTCTCACGATTCCTTCATACTATATGAATTAACAACTGATGTGCTCAGTCAGTCTTCCAATTGTGGCTTTCTTGCTGGTTTGAGTGGTTGTTGACATTGCATTTCTGATGAAAGAAGCCAGAGAAAACATGTTCCAGGAAGGAGAAATATCATGAAAGAAAAAAAAAGGAAGAAAAACATAACCATGATGATGTTAAGCTGGTCACTATAACAGAAAATTTGTGGAAAGCTGAGGAAGAATTCAGTGGCAGGTCTCTTAACAGCGTCGGGTAGATGTTACAGAAATGAAACCCCTTCCTGGTCCATAAAAAAACCAAAACAACAACAACAAAACCCTCCAGTGACCTACTTTATCCTCTCTGCCTTTTTCTTAATTCTTAGAAATGGCTCCATTCCAGATTTTGCCCATCAAGGCAAATTAATTGGAGTCAATCCTAATTTGCTCTCTATTGCTGCTTAGGCAGAAGATTAAATGCTTTGTAGACATTATCCCTTTCTCTGTCCCCTCGTCTCTTCACTAAGGGACAAGCTCTTTCTGAACTGGAAAGGATTGTAGATGCTAGACTGGGGGAGGGAGGAGGGAGGGAGGGAGGGAGGATAAAGGAAGAGCATGATGCCCTGATTCAAAATTGGTAGTTGTGGGGAGGAGAGAGAGAGAGGCTGTGCCATAGCTATTATCCAAAGATTAGGCACCAGATGGGTAGCCTATTCCAGGCAGCAGTGTGACAGCAGTTAGTAAACACAATAAAAAGGTTAAGGGCAAGGCTGTTCCTCTGAGTTACAATGAATTATAAATTATTGGAATGTTGGAGTCCTTTCCAGCACCACCACCTCTTCAGAGGATAGCTAAATTCAAGGATAAACACATGAATGTCAGTGGAACAACGTGGAACAACAAATGATGACCTTCTTTTACCAGTGCACTATAGAAAGCGTCCTCTCACATTGCATTATGGGGTGGTATGCTGGCTTGACAGCCGCGGATAGAAAGACATTACAGAGGGTGGTGAGCACAGCACAGAACATCGTGGGCTGTCCCCTGACCCCACTAGACGACATCGCTAGGTCCCGTGGCCTTAGAAGAGTGAGGAAAATCCTCAGGGACGACTCACACCCTGGTCAGCACTTCTTTACTCTCCTACCATCGGGCAAGGGATATAGAAGCATAGCCAGCCACATCAACAGGCTGAAGAATAGTTTCTACCCCTGGGCTGTCAGACTGCTGAATGGAAAATAACTCCATGTATGATAGACTTGCGGGGCCGGTGCTTTGTGCAATAAGTTCACATGGTGCAATAAGACTGTGTGTTTGTTATCACTGTGAGTTGTGTTGGGGGGGGGTGCACGAAGGGAGGCTTAGCCAATCTCATTGTACACATGTTGTACTTTGACAATAAGGGTTGATTTGATTTGATTTCTCATATTTTCCACATATATCAAGTTCACATCATCCAACCGTAAGATTTTTTTTATTTTTTTTTAATAAGATCTGACTCAGTCACTAAGATCGGAGATTCAGTCTTCCGAGCTTTCGGACTCATGCTGCAACCCATCCAGAATGGTGGAGAGAAGTTGGCTGAGGATGAGCTCCAACACGAGTCTTAAAGCTTGGAAGATTAAGTCTCTGGTCCCGGTGACCGACACAGATTGGATCTTGCAACATTATCCTGGGGTATATATATTTGCCTTCATTCGTAAGATTTTTTAAAAAACCGAATTTCTAAATTCTGTATTAATTTTGGTGCACGTTTCTTCAAACATAAGGAAACATTTGCCTGCACTTGTTTATCACATCACATCATATTTGTGTGAACCTGTCCAGTCCTGTCCAGTCATTTTTCTATTGTACTCTTTTTAAAAAAAAAAAATAATATTTGCATTATAAAATTTGGAAAATACTACATTTTGAATATGCTTATGGAGATTCTCAGTCATCCAGGTCAAGGTTGTCCCAAAGGTGCTTTTTCAAAAGGTAACTGGATTTCCTTTATTTTTTCCTTGAAGACGTTTTGCTTCTCATCCAAGAAGCTTCATCAGCTGAGTGTGTTTTGAATAATACAAATATGAAATTCAGTTTGTAAGTTAAATTATTTTCTTCCCATCTCTAGTGAAATGGAAAGGCCAGAGGTGACTGATTTAGTCCCTTCTAATTTTTATTTAGAAATAAATTTTCTAATCTATTTCTAAATAAAATCTCAGACTTCCAAATCTTGAAATATTTTAGAAATAGCTCAGTAGGTTCAGAGCCTCATTATAAAGTTGGACTTTATAAGAATGGCAATTTAGGACTGAATTTATGTGCTGCATTAAGCCATCATGTTTGTTAGGTTTATTGTGTGTAGCTAACTGCTGCACTTTGTAAACAAGGATTTCTACTTGGCTATGTGGTATGGATCCAGTCTGTTGTGGCTTGGTCAACATATCGTGACTAAATTAAAAAAAAAAGGCTGCCTGTGATGTATAAACAAGCTGTTGATTACAGTCTTTTAAGATATCAGTTCAGATCTGAAGTATATAACATACAAAATAAAGCAGAAACTGTCAGGGGGTAGCATATTCAGAACTGTAAAAGCAACTGATGCTTTGGGATAATTAACATCAAGGTCCTTTTGCTGTGGTTCTCCAGTTCTTATTACCTAATTTGAAGTCCAAATTTGTGGCCAAGCGTTACTGGAATATTAGGCAATTTGGTTGAACTTTCCTATTTGGATATCCTTATAATCATTTACCAATCCCTTGAGCTAATACTACTGCAGCTGATGGTTTGGTCCTGTTGAGATTACTAGATAATTTATCCCCAGGAGCCTAAGACTTTCCATAATTTATTTTCTGCCACATCTCCAGATATTCTGCCTTTGTGTTATGAGATGGCAGAAAAATCTACTTTTGAAGGACACTGGGGAGAAAAAAGGAATAGGATGAGATATTCCATCATAATTATTTCTGGTAGCTCAGTTTGAGAAATAGAAGGATTGATGTATATATATTGACCCTGGAAGAACCATTATTTGGGTTGTGTCCACCTGCATGTCTGCCTGCATATGTATGTGTGTGTGTGTACACACACAAACACAATACTTAATTTATGTGCTGGAGAGAAGCTCAGACAGATTTAATGTTTCTCCTAATGCAGTGTAGAAATATGATGAATAAAGAAATAGATACTGTTTATAAAAACACACACAATAAAAGCTTTCCACCCCATCAATAAAGTATTCCCAGACTTTTGTTTTTAGAAGATTTGATATCAGTGGGATTATGAACTGCTTTTTTGCCAATTATCATGAGACTATTGGAGTACATTAAAGGCATTTTTCCAGTGATGCCACATGAGACTCTGAAGTTTACTGTTTTCCATAAAGAAATTAACTGCCTCAATTAACAGAAAGATATCAAACTGGAGCGTATGAAAAATAAAGCCTGGCTCTCAATCAAAAGGATTTTAATAAGGGTTTGATCTTTAAAGGACAAATAAGGTAGTCTACATGTAAAAAACAAAGGCCTATTAATTGGGCGTGGAAATTTAAAGAAATCAGAGGAAGGATTTCCATGATGAAAACTGTGTGGCCACAAAAAAAAAACAACACTTTTTTTTAAGACAGAGAAATTTATTGGGCTAATAAATGGCATGTACATATCACAGCATCCAAATTAAGTTTTTTTTCACAGCAGTTTTGTTTTCCACATTTGTCAACTCATTCAATCATTCATGCATACATGCATTGAACAGCTGCCTATTTCACATTCGTGACTCCAGACGGTTTACAATTAAAGCATAAACTGTTGCTGTTAGCTGCAAACTTGTGTCCAACCCATTGCAACCCCATGGACAACGTTCCTCCAGGCCTTCCTGTCCTCCACCATCTTCTGGAGTCTATTTAAGCTCACGCCTCCTGCTTCAGTGACTCCAGCCAGCCACCTCATTCTCTGTCGTCCTCTTCTTCTATTGCCCTCAATCTTTCCCAGCATTAGGCTCTTCTCCAGTGAGTCCTTCCTTCTCATCAGGTGGCCAAAGTATCTGAGTTTCAACTTCAGGATCTGGCCTTCTAAAAAGCAGTCGGGGTTGATCTCCTCCAGGACTGACTGGTTTGATCGCCTTGCAGTCCAGGGGACTCGCAGGAGTCTTCTCCAGCACCATAGTTCAAAGGCGTCAATTCTTTGGCGCTCAGCCTTTCTTATGGTCCAACTTTCGCAGCCATACATTGCAACTGGAAAAACCATAGCCTTGACTATACGCACTTTTGTTGGCAGGGTGATATCTCTGCTTTTTAGGATGCTGTCTAGATTTGCCATAGCTTTCCTCCCCAGGAGCAAGCATAAACTAACCGTCCCCAAAATCAAGCAGCCCTACAAATGTTAAAAACAACGAAGGACGTGTTCACCCACTCGTTCCAAAACTGCAAGGTTTCTTTTAAAAGGGAAGCAGAAATCCAGGTTTTCAAAAAGGTATTTTGAACAAACGCGCATCAAACGATGCAGAAAACTATTTGCAGATAGGCAGGGCGAAAAGAAGAATGACAGCCCTCTGCAGGCGGGGCTTAAGTTTCCCTAGCAACCGTCGCTAACTGTTCCTTCCTCTCTCTCTCACCCCCCCCCCTCCTTTCTCTTCCTCCTTCCCTCTCTAAGCAATAAGGACCAGGGAAAGTCCCGCCCGCAGCTCGGCTCGTCCAATCACAGCAGAGGAAAGCGGCCTCGTACCACGCGTTGTGTTTCCGAGCGCGCGCGTTGATGACGCCATGACGGCCGCGCCAGGCCAGAACCCCCTGTGGGCTTGGGCTGGACCCGGCGCCCTCCCGGCCGCGGGCTGAGGTGAGTCCGTTCGGGGCGGCCCGGCGAGTTCCGGCCCTCGACGGGGCGCCCTAGCTGCCCAGCTCCTCCTCCTTTGCGCGGCCTCGGCGCGGCTGGGCTGGAAGGTCTCGGCCGCCTCGGTCCTCGCGGGCCTGCGCTTGTTTTCTATCCGGTCCGCGTGCCAGGCCCGTTGTCCCTGGCAGCGCGCCTGGCGAGTCTGGGGCTCCCTCAGGCTGTCTTGTCCCCCGGGCAGAGTTTTTTTCCACGCAAGGCGGCGGTCTGGGAAACACAGCGCCCGCATTCTGACAGCTGGTTGTCCCCAATCCGTATCTTGAGACTCCAGTACCCATAATTCCCAGCTGGCATGTTCTCCCGTCTGGAAAGGGATATTTCGGCAGGCAGGATGGGAAATATCAGTAAAGGAGAAAGGGGAGGCGGTGGGTCCCTGCCGGAAAAAGTCTAGAATTAGCTTTTTTTTTGAGATATAGAAATCCTATATTTTGGTAATATATTCTATCCTATATAGAAATTCCTATATTTTGGTAATAGGAATCTGTCCCAGATAGACCCCCTCTCCCCCCCTTCCCTTCATCTAGCGCGGTCTTTTAAACTTTACAAACCCTTTGTCACCAAAGCTTTTTTATTATTGCTGGCTGGGGAATTCTGGGAGTTGAAGGCCACACATTTCAAGTTGCCAAAGTTGAGAAACACTGATTTAGGGTAACTGTGAATTGAATTTGCGGATGAACTATGTTTCTCATTGTTAAGCTCTGTCTCTTTTTTTAAAATTAATTTTTGAGATGTTGGAAAGTCAGGCCTGTCCTTGTGTATGACACTCTTGATGGTCGTAAGTCAAGGACTCCCTGTATCAACACTGAAGCCCTGATGTTTTCTAGCCATAGAAAATGGATATTTTTTAGCTACAGCATTTTTGATACTTCTAAAAAGTTCCTGATGTTTGAATTAAGCCTAGATGAGGGAGCTTTAGGCTCAGCCACAAAACACTGATTGTTCTTTCTTTCTCTTCAGCTTCTTGGGATGTTGCAATGGTTGGAATTGTTCCAGACATGGTTGCTGTGGTGCTATCCCGGGAGACCATTTTGATGGAGGACTAGTACCATTTAGTGATGGGCTGTGGGACCAGTAAAGTACTTCCTGAGCCTCCCAAGGATGTTCATTTGGATCTTGTTAAAAAGGTCGAGCCCTACACTGGTTATAAAACTGACATATATAAACTTTTCATCAAAGGTGATGGCGATGCCATCAAGTCTGCTATTCCTTCCCCTCCGTGTCACACCAATCCGTATGTGGAACAGCAGGAGCCCCGTAAGAACAGAGTGGCCAAGTACCGTGCCAAATTTGATCCCAGAGTGACAGCCAAGTATGACATCAAAGCTCTGATTGGCCGAGGTAGCTTTAGTCGCGTAGTACGCGTGGAGCACAAAGCTACCAAGCAACCTTATGCCATCAAGCTGATAGAGACCAAATACCGCGAGGGGAGAGAAGTATGCGAATCGGAGCTGTGTGTGCTACGCCGAGTGCGGCACACCAACATCATCCAGCTCATCGAAGTTTTTGAGACTCAGGAGCGTGTCTACATGGTGATGGAGCTGGCCACAGGAGGTGAGTTGTTCGACCGTATCATTGCGAAAGGCTCTTTCACAGAGAGAGATGCCACCCGAGTGCTACAGATGGTGTTGGATGGGGTTAAATACTTGCATACGTTGGGCATAACTCATAGAGACTTGAAGCCAGAGAACTTGCTGTATTATCACCCAGGGATGGACTCTAAAATCATGATCACGGATTTCGGGCTAGCGAGTGCTCGAAAGAAAGGAGATGACTGCTTAATGAAGACTACCTGTGGGACCCCAGAGTACATTGCTCCAGAGATCTTGATCAGGAAGCCTTACACTAACTCTGTGGACATGTGGGCGCTTGGGGTGATCTCGTACATCCTGCTAAGTGGGACGATGCCTTTTGAGGATGATAATCGCACACGCTTGTATCGGCAAATTCTCAAAGGAAAATACAGTTACTCGGGGGAGGTGAGTAAAGAGTTGATGATGATGATGTGTATGATGAGAACATGCCAGAAGGAAAGTAGATATATATACACAATCTACGTAATTTTAAGTAAAACCACTTTGGGGGTATGGCAATGGCCTCCTAACTGGATGTCCAATACAGCTATTCAAGTGATTGCCTCTGGCGTTGCTTCATGCATATCTTCTAAGGAACCGGAGAACGCACAACTTGGGCAATCTTGCACAATATGTTTAATAGTTTGTATATCAATACCACAATCGCAACAAGGGGAATCTTTCCGTCCCCACTGATAAGAGGGCAGAGGCACTTCTTCCAGTATCAAATCTAATTAAAGGAGATAAAGGAATGGTGCTGTCTCTATAATGTTATTGCAGCAATGTCTTCAATATTTGAATCACTTCTCAAAGGGGATAATCTGCTTTTTCTGAATGGCTTTGCTCTGACAAGTGGGTCTCTTCTAGGAATATGCCTGTTGCCAGGGAATGGTTGAGATGGCCCAAAATAGTAATGGGATAGTTCCAAAATAGTAATGGAAGAAAGAACTTACAGCACTGCGCAGCTGCAATGTTCTTAATACTCAACCAAAATACAGTGATACATGAATACGTAGTATTAATCTTGTTCTTGAAATTTTGCCTGTGGGAGATACCTTTCAGGTATGCTGTAAGTCGAATTTCTTGATATTTCATTTGACCAGTTGTTTTATGTATGTTTTGCTAGGTTATGTCACCCAAACATCTTTTATAGATGATCTCCAGCTTCCTATTGAGTATGGTAACTTGAATTAAAATACATTGACTTTTAAATTCCTATGATGAGGCTTAAATCAGAATTCCATCAAATGTATATCAAAAATACAAAGCTACAGTGTCTTGCCAAAACTATTTGATTATTGAGTTTACCTGTCTTAGATTCAAGAGCTGACTTTTCTCACTAACTGTATTTGCACGTAATAACAAAAAAATTAAATTTTGGTGCAATGACTCTTTGCAAACCTAAGTGAAGCTTCGGGTTTCTCCACTGTCTATTTCTTTCTCTTCCTGCCTGAGAGAAGAAGAATTATGTACAACTTAATTTAGCTGTCCACATTCTTGTTTCTAAATCAAAACGTGATTTAAAACAGAAGGATTTGTTGGTAACTTTCTTTAGCAGTTGGCAAAACACGATTCCTGTTTAATGATCAGCCAAGAATGGAAGAAAGATAAACACAATTTATTAAGAGTCTTCCTCTTAGCGTGCACAAAGATAAATATCCACCTCTAATGTTCCCCCATATTTTCAAAGAATTGTCTGTAGACTATGCTAAATTCTGACTTAGTGCTACGTACAATCTGGCGTAACGTTTCATTTCTTTTAAAGGATTATTGTTTGTTTGTTCCCAGCATCATTCTTCTTTTGCATTGCAGAGTTAACTTCCTATGCACTTCTTGTGAGAAAAAAATTCAAAAGGTTTAGCTCTTGTATCAAAGAAGTATTTTAACAGCAGGGATCTTTCTCCTTTTCCACTCGTTCTAAACCAGTGCCTTTTCCAAAAATGAGACTGGGCTCAAATTTGTAACTAAAATTGCTGAGACTGTTGACAGCAAAATAAAAATTGAAGGGTGGAGTGACAAGAAAAATCTGACACCAGCTACAGGTAGTCCTCGATTTACAACCACAATTGACCCGAAAATTTGTGTTGCTAAGCGAGACAGTTTAGCAAATTTTTGCCCCGTTTTATGAACTTTCTTGCCATAGTCGTCAAGTGAATCACTGAAGTTGTTAAGTCAGCAACACGGTTGTGAAATGAATCTGGCATCCCCATTGGCTTTGCTTGTCCGAAGGTCACAAAAGGGGAATCACGTGACCCCCAGGGCACTGCCACCGTCATAGATATGAGTCGGTTGCCAAGCATCTTAATTTTGATCACATGACCGTGGAGAGGCTGCAGTGGTCATGCAGGTGAAAATGGTCACAAGTCCCTTTTTCGGTGCCGTTGTAACTTCGAACGGTCACAAAATGAACTGTTTTAAGTCGAGGACGGTCTGTCTTGCAGTTGCTGCCTGCCAGTGCGGCAGCAGGAGTCTTCCTGGTGTGGTTCCATTCTTGAAGCGAGGATCTATTTTCAAGAGGCTATTAAGCGATCAATGGCCACGGTACTCTAATAACTCATTCAGGTTCTGCTGACTTCAACTGTTCTAATTATTATTCTTTGGCTCCTGGATGATATATAGCCGATGACCAAGGAGGGAAATTTAATGCAGCTTGGAGAGACACTACAAACACTTCTGACGATATTAGCTTCCTGCGTTACAGTGCTTATCAGAGTAGGATCAGCTCAATTTATCTGTTAGGAACTAATTGTGTTTTTCCCCTGCACCCTGCAGCTTCTTTGCTTTATCAGGGCTTCTTTAAATAAGCAGAACGCTTTGTTTTGCCATAGGAAAAAAAAAATGGTTTTGGAATACACAGCAGAAAAGTTGCTTCTGGTGTGTCTACTGATTCCAGATGAGAAATCAAATGGTTTGATGTATCCTATAATAAAAACTCAATATAGACTTATCCCCAAATTATCTTCCTGTATTTTTGACTAATTTATACATGGGGCCACATCACAGGGAGTGATGGACAGCAGGGCAAAGAAGGAATCTATGTTTTACATTTTATGTAATATATATATAATATATAAAAGGTTCGAATTTCAGGAGGGTATGTTTGGCTGATGAGAGCTAATTAGCTTGAAATAGCTATTCCATTCTCCCTTAATTCAGGTCTTGGTGTATTCGGGTCTTTTCCCATGTAAGATTGAGAGCTCCTGGCGACGTTTCGACGAGGTCCCACTCGTCATCTTCAGGCTGGGGTCTTCAGCTTCGTGCTTGTGCGAGCAAAGTGTGATCGGAGCTGCTGTCTATATATATATATATTGGTGGGGATGTGTGGAGTGCTGACTTAGTTGCTGTAGGTGGATTGGTTGGCTATGTAGGAGGTATTGTTTGTGGATTGTTTGGCTGTTTCGTAACATCCTGAGCAGTTGAGGTGCTGGCTGTGTGCCCATTAGTCTTTTGTGTTGTAACAACCTGGGTAATGGGTTGTGTGATGACATCCTGAGATCTAGTGTAGTGATATCCTGAGTTCTGTGTTGCACTAACATGGGTGGTTGGCTGTGTTGTAACATCCTGAACTTTGGCGTTGTAGCTTCCTGAGTTCTGTGATGTGATGTCCAGGGCTGAAGGCTGTGAAGTAACATACCAGGCTTTGGTTTGGCCAAACAATCCACAAACAATAGCTCCTACACAGCCAACCAATCCACCTACAACAACTAAGCCAGCATTCCACCACCCCCCCCCACCAACATATATAGAGAGACGGCAGCTCCGATCACACTTTGCTCGCACAAGCACGAAGCCGAAGACCCCAGCCTGAAGATGATGAGTGGGACCTCGTCGAAACGTCGCCAGGATGCTCTCAATCTTACATGGGAAAAGACACGAATACACCAAGACCTGCAGTCTGAGCAGCTAGTTTTTGTTTATACTGGTATATTACACTAAGATTGTCCCCTTAGATTTTCACCCAAAGCAATAAATCTTTGTTTGGGAACTTGAATAGGTGAGTTGCTTGCATTGCAGACACAAGATGCCCTAATGATAATAAGCTTCTGTGTATTCCTGAGCCCTCTTTAAAATTCATGTTTCTTTCTCCTATTCGTACATGGTAACAGACTTCTGGCCACTTGTTTCTCAGTCTTTCATCCTATTTTCATAACATCTGCTCTAAAGTTGTTTATTTCCAGCCTTTCCCCCCCCCTCAGGTTTAGTCTTCACAATTACACAAAATGTTTTAAATATATGAAATCGCTCAATAGATTCCATATGTGGCAAAATGCAGATGGAACTTCAGTAGCGGGCTGCAATTGTTTCCACAGTTCCTATTGGAAATGCTTGTGTACATAGTTCTATTATGTCATCATCTTAAGATATTCCATTCTATTCAGTCATTTCATTTGACATTTTTCTTTTCTAATTAACACTGAATATTGTGTGGTTTTGTGTAATTTTCTCATTGAGGGTTTTTTTTTTCTTTTAATGTCTGCAGACGTAATACGTTTGCAGACATTAAAGGAAATGTTCATTAAAGGAACTGCTCATATGTTCCTGTTGAAGCTCAGCGACTCTGTTGTAGTTGTAGCTATGTTTGTCTATCTATACTTTAGGAGCTGTCTTCCTGCTTTCTCCCGCAAAATTTCAAAAGCAGAAGCAAAAAATTGATTGACAAGCATGCGTGTAACCAAAAGATTATCTGGAAGACTTTATGTTATACAAGACTACTAGGGTTAGAAAGGCCTGGTTTCAAATCTCAGGAAGTGTGAAGCTCAGCGTCTGACTTTCAATAGTCACCATTAAATCCCACCTGTTATTTAATAACAATAGTAAGAGAAAAAGCTATGGTTAACAAAAAATTGATTGACAAGCATGCGTGTAACCAAAAGATTATCTGGAAGACTTTATGTTATACAAGACTACTAGGGTTAGAAAGGCCTGGTTTCAAATCTCAGGAAGTGTGAAGCTCAGCGTCTGACTTTCAATAGTCACCATTAAATCCCACCTGTTATTTAATAACAATAGTAAGAGAAAAAGCTATGGTTAACACATTAAGCTTAGAAGAAAGTAAAATAAAACAAATGCATTGGTTCTGCTTTTCATTCAGGATTTGTTTTTCGTATTCCTAAAAACTAAGACGTGAAGAAATCCTATCTGGAATCTTTCTCAGGGTAGATACAAAGTAAAGCAAAATGCAATTTATAAACTTTCCCCCATCATTTAAAAGGCAGAGGATGCGTCATCCGCCTGGAAGTGTGGTTGAAATTGGTCCTTTACATTTCTCCACCAATGTCACCCCCTCCCTGTTACTTTGTGACTCACAGCTTTTTATTTCTAATGAATACCTCTTCCACTTGGTACAAAGTTTAATCACCTTGACGCAGAACACACTTCAGAAAGTTTTGGTGTGGATGTTACCT